ATTAAAAAGACTCAAGAAAAAAATAATGGCATAATATAAAAATAAGAAAACTAGTATTAAGATTGGTGTCGGTGGCGGTTAAACAAAGATCAAAGAGAAAGAAGAAGGTGGCACAAAAATATTGAAACAAAATTAGGTTGAGGGAAAAGAGAGGGGCTAGGGTTTAAAATAAAATGATAGAAAAAATCAATTTAAATCAATTAATAAAGATTAGAATGATATCGCAGTTACTTTAACTAAGATGAGCTGTAAGAAACCTTTTAGCAATCCATACACATACACCTTCTGTCATTATAACTGATTCTCTAGTGCTTGTATCTTAGTATTAAGATTAAGGTATCACATACACTTTAACTATTATTAGGATTATGGAATTCTCAAATTACACATGAACTTTTATGATTCTTTAAAAAGTTTGTATCCTAATTTAAGAGATCAAAATTTTCAATAATAAAATATTTTAATATATTAATTGATAAAAATACATGTTCCCATCTAGTTTTTACTCTTAAAGGTCTGACATAATATTTTTTTTGTTACACTGACATAACATATTTTATGTTTTCAGTTTTATATAAAGTTTCTTTATTTACAATTTTAACAAATATCATGTTTATTTACTTTTTAAAATTTTAACAACACTTTAAAGATATTTATCATTGTCCTAAGACATCGTTTATTGTAACACCCATAACATGTATACATCTCGAAAATATGAGTTAAAGATGTTACAACAACTGATCATAGACACTTAAAAGTTTGTTTCATTTCAAAAACTTTCCTTTTTTAACTTTAAACTATTTCATCAATCGTGTAAAATCATAAAATAATATTTAAACGTTCAAAACGAATCCAGTTTTAAGCAATAATTAGGCAATTTAATGCTATATTCATAAACTGTTTAAAAACCTGCCAAAATATTGCTTAATTAGAAACCATTTTAAAAACATAAACGTACTTATGTATATTCTATTCAATTATGTCAACAAGTGTTAGCACAAGTGGTTGAGATTCAGGAATTTGAGCTTGTAAGGCTAAGTTCAAATCCCACCACCGTCACTCTTGGTGGGCAATCTGTAAAGTTCTATGTAAATCTCAATTGGGTCTTAGGTATGTCCTGGCCCTAGACTGGGGGAGCCACCCCTGACCTAAACTTTTGTGTATAAAAAACGATATATACTATTAATTATAAATACAAATATAACTAAACTAATAAAAAATAAATGGTCCTAGTTTACTATTACATACCATTTAAAACAATTCTGATAAAGCAACATACAAATATAATATACATGCTCAATAGGCTCCTCACTTCACGTTCCTTTCTCTATTTGAACCTACGCTTGAAAATTGTCACGAGCTAAGTAAAACTCAGTGAGGCAGTAACATTACTAACGTAAGGGAAAAAACATTAATATTATAATGTAATATAGACATAAAACTGTAATTTAAAGGAAAAAATTAAAACTTTCAAACCGAGCTATTTAAGTCGTTTTCCTCTTGAAAACCTGAAAATCATTATCTCATGATTTTTGATAAAATAACGTAAGTCAACATTAAAATATAACAAATAATTCTTATTCTTTTCATTCATACATATTTTAGAACTTTCATTTCATTTACATATTCTTTTCTTTCATATATTTGTAGTAACTTTCACATTTACTTTTATAGCCCAATGTATATGCAAGATAATGCAAGGTACGTGAGCCAGACGAGTGTGCACAATAAGCACTTCAGTGCTAACATCGTAATTAGAATATGCACTCCAAGTCATTCATATCATTTGCACCAACGGTGCTACACATAATGTACACAAATGTACCAGATCATAATCATAATCACTCCACCTCATGACATGCCAATTGTACCTACGCCTCTCAATGCAACATACAATGGGCTTTCAGAACATATCTTATTTGTTTCATAATCAATATTTCAAATTCAGAATTATTATTATTTTATCATTGTCAAAATAGAACTTGGGCAGTTCATACCCTAAGTCATCCATAAAACATTTATATAAACATTATGAAAATAATCCATAATTAAAATAGAAAACATACTTGAAAAATAATGAGATTAATTTATCGCAAGTCGTCCTCGTTAAAAAAACAAACAAACTGTACTCACTTTGACACTTTATGAATCAAAATTATAAGCCTTACTAAGCTTTGAGTTTAGTCCCTTGCTTTCGATTACTTCAACTATAAAATTTATCTAAATTTCATACTTTGACAGTTTGCACAACCTTCAAAAAGTATTATTTTGTATTAATCTACATACTTAAAAATTATTTTGTTTGTACCTTTGGAAACTATACTTGAATAAAAATCTAACCATATAAGGAACTTCTCTTAGTTCAACTTGTACAATTTATAGCAAATTTTCAAAGCTAACTTACATAAACTATTTTGAGCAGAATGTGTTGCTCTATTGTCTAACATATTCTCAATTAAAAATTCATAACTTTTTGTGTACACCTCGAAATTAGTAGACGTTTATTTTAAACGAAACTAGACTGATGTAAAAATCCAACGGTATAGAGTTCATCTTCTAATCACTTCTGTATAATTTATAGTGATTTTCTAAACTTATTGTTCAAATCAAAATTTCTAGACACTTACCTTAATTAGCGTCCGCTTATTCCATAATGATATTAGCTTACCAAATGAACTTATATGCATAAATCACAAATCAAATAATATTTAGGAGTCACTTCTTCCTATAGTAACTTCGTCACTGGCTCATCGCAAGCCAATGTTCGTTCAATAACATAAGTAAATATACACTCACCTTTGCCACACTATTGAACATTTTTTACGATAATCTTCTCAATCCCGCACTTTTTCCTTCCCTTTCAAGTTACTTGGATCACTAGATTTATCATGGTATGACGACGTCATATAATAACATAAAATATTCAAATTATATGTTAGTATTGAACTAACATAATCTAAGCTTAAATATAGGATTCGATAGAAATAAAATCGATGCCTAAATCAATATGAAACTAAATCATATTTCCATTATAATTTCAAACTTCTCAAAATATTCATTCAATTCCAAAAATATATTTATTGTCATCGTAAACCCTTCCAACTTTTTCCAATTCCACAATCAAGCCACAAATTATGAATTCTTTCTAGAATTCACCTTAACTTTTCCATTAACTTCATAATAACACTTCACCATTATGATCATTTCACCTTAATTACTAAAATTTCCAGCATCTTAATAAGATCCTCAAATCAATACTCTAACATTCCCAAACTTGAAATTTCATCCCAAAGTTTCTTAGACTTTTCGAATTCAACCATCCATCTTTATAAACTTGTAATTAAATCCCAACTCAATATTTAAATTCAAAAATTAGTGTACAAAAATAAATTTCCAGCATTTTAAGTTATTGTTTAAAATAATGCCAACACATTTTCAAACTTACAAACAAGTCCCCTAATTTATAGGACTTTTCGAATTCCACCATAAAAATTTACCAAATTTATAATTTGGTTCCAATCAACTTTCTAACTTAAAATTCCAGCATTTCAATATTAAAAATTAACATTGAACACCTACATTTTCACATTTATGCAATAATGTCCCACAATTCTGAAAACTTGCTAAATAGCCCTTTTACTAAGCTTCCAAATTGATCTCCAAATCACATAGAACACTTCTAATATCAATTCTAGATCATAGGAAAATTTTCACTATCCCCCCGCAAATTATCCCCTATGGTTGAATGCTTCATATTCTCTAGGGTAGACTCTTTGTTCAATTTCAATCATGAATTCAACTTCTTTACAACAAATGCATGTTATTATATTCATCACAACATCAAATTGCATCAAAATCCAATCTTTCCTTAAAACCCTAGCATGGATGAATCAACTACTAGGCTTTACAAATCATTTTAATTATCACACATGCCTTAGAATAAATCTTCAACATAAAAAACATAATAATCTTTCATCAATCATTCAAAATACATAAACCCTAATTCTCAATCTCATGAAATAGGCATGTTCACCATGTAATACCTATACCAAATGATAGAGAATTTCATGTAGATTAATTCTCTATCTAATAAATTAATCCAAAAATCAAGTATATAGCTTCAAAAATCAAAAATTAAATTTACCTTGGGGAGCTATGGTGGATTCGACCAAGAGAGCGTTTGAAACTAAAAATTTCTTTTTCTTGAATAATCTAGTATGATTTAATCATACACTTAGCTTAAAATCAATATAATTGAATATTAAATTCAATTAATGAGAATTTCCATTTTTACCATTAATGAACCTTGATAATTACTAAATGTCATTACATTATCCTCCACTAAAATATTCCATAGTCAAAGATAAACAAATTTGGCTTTGTCTTTCTACTTTGGCCATACAATTTTTAAAAAGTGCATTTTAGTCACTAAATTTCCATTGTTTGGCCAAATCTGAAAAAAAAAAATTACATTGTTTAACTAAATTTCTCTAATCTAAAATATGGAAATAATATTTACAACCCTTATCTATCATTTTTCAAATTTTCGTAAAATTTTGATTCAATCCCTAAACTTTTGGTCCCTAAACTTTTATAAAGTGTATATTTTATCCACCAAACTTTCAAAACTTACATTTTGGTCATTAACCAAAATTTGGGGCATTACATTTATAAATTTATTTTTTCTTATTGTGGTGTGCCAAATAATAACGTAAAAATTAATAAGATATAATTATATTTATATTTAAATAGAGAAGAGTTAGTGTATTTTTCATTAAACTAGATAAGTATTTTTCAAATGCTAGGGTAGATGAAATTTTAATCAAACCTCAAAGGTCTGTGTACTTTTCTCTATAAAATATAATACATAGGATAAATGAAAGAAAAAAAGTTATTTAGTATGTTTGATTTAACATTATGGTAAGAATTTAACATTCCTTCAACTTTGGAGACGTAAAAAAAAAAACTGAAAAATTCCCAGGAACATTGATTGGACAAAATCATTGTAATATAGAGATTAAATTCCCCCCCCCCTTTCCTCTTTCATCTTTTTGGAAATCAAATTGCACATATAGATACAATTTGAGTCGCCTTGAAGCCTCTAAAATGTGTTCTCTTTGGCCAAATGCACTGATTCTAATATACCCTTCGCCCGCAGGACCAAATCCCCTGCCTGGAACTGTCACTATGTTTGTTTTCTTGAGAATTTCAGTGAATACACTCCAGGAACTTGATCCTGGAAAGTGTAGCCATATATATGGTGCATTCTTCCCACCATACACATTCAAATCAAGTGATTCAAATCCATCAACCATAATTTTCGCATTCTCCATGTAGTAGTCAATGACATTACATAGTGCCTTCAACCAGGGGAGAAAAATGAACAATGCCGGGTTCGAGTAATATAAACTTTTCTCCAAAAGAGTGATTTACCTGGTAGCCATTGGTTGAAAGGCATGCAAGGCCTCCAGCCTGAGCAATACTTGATGCGCCATTAAAGCAAGTGCAAACAATGCGGTTGAAATCCTTTATAACAGGGAATCCGTTGGAGTATTTGAGCTCTTCAGGGACCACTGTCCATCCAAGTCTCACTCCTGTAAAACCAGCAAATTTGGAGAGGGATGAAATTTCAATGGCAACCTGCAATGAAACAAAGCCCTTGTCCACGTTAAGATTTGCATCAAATCTAGCTAATAAACTAAGACGGTCAAATAAAACTGACCAACCTCTTTGGCACCAGGAATCTCAAAGATCGACCTGGGGCTTATATCTCTGATATAAGCAGAATATGAGGAATCATAAACTATGATCGACTCATTGGATTTTGCAAACTCAACCAGTTGCTTTAGTTGCTGCCTAGATGCGGCATGGCCCATGGGATTGTTTGGAGAACAAAAGAAAATGATATCGGTCCTTGGAATCACGGATAGATCGGGGAAGAAATTATTCTCAGGCCCACAGTTCATGTCGATGATGTTCCCATACTTGCCCGTTCCTCTTCTAACTCACATTGTTGAAAGTCAAGCAATGCACCAAATTAAAATCAAAGTTTGGCACTGCCGAGTATGCTTGTTTCAACAAAGTTTGGCACCGATTATGCTTGGTTCAAAGTTTGGTATAATTTTGTTAAAAATTTAAATGGGTTAATTACACTTTAGTCATTGGACTTTAGGGTATTTTCAAATATTAGTCCCTAAGCTTCAACTATAAATACCCTAGCTCATTTAGCTTCAAAATCATCCAAAAATCTCAAATCATTTCTTTCTCTCAATACTAGAGAGCTTTCTTGTGAGTAGTGAGTGTTTTGTAAACACCTGTAGTTGATCGACGCTTATACAAATCACCAGCATAATCGGAATCAACATATCCAACCATACACTGACCAAGTGCTTCATCCTGTTCAAAAACTAAACCAACATCCACGGTTTGTTGGAGATACCGTAGAATCCATTTCACAGCTTGCCAATGTCCTTCTCCAGGATCATGCATGTACCTGCTCACAACTCCAACTGCTTGTGAAATGTCAGGACGCGTACACACCATTGCATACATCAAGCTCCCAACTACATTAGCATATGGAACTTTTGCCATATACACTCGTTCTTCGTTAGTTTTAGGAGATAATTGAGAACTAAGTTTTAAATGAGAAGCCAATGGGATACTTATATGTTTGGTATTTTCATTCATGCCAAAACATTGTAATACCTTTCTCAAATACTGCTTCTTTGTTAAACAAAGCTTCCCTCTCTGTCTATCTCTGTTTATCTCCATACCAAGAATCTTTTTGGCCTCACCTAGATCTTTCATCTCAAACTCTTGATTCAACTGAGCCTTTAATTTGTCTATCTCCTTTTGACTCTTCGAAGCGATCAACATATCGTCAACGTATAAGAGAAGATAAATTAAAGATCCATCTTTGAGCTTTTGCAAATACACACAATGATCATATTTGCTTCTATTATACTTTTGCCTCCTCATAAAGCTATCAAATCGCTTGTACCACTGCCTCGGAGATTGCTTTAATCCATATAGCGATTTGTTCAGCTTACAAACCCATTTCTCATAACCACCATCTTTGTATCCTTCTGGATGTGTGATATAGATCTCCTCTTCTAAATCACCGTGCAAGAAAGCCGTCTTTACATCAAGTTGAGCTAGCTCCAAATTAAACTGTGCTACCAAGGCCAACAATATTCTAATGGAGGAATGCTTCACAACAGGAGAAAATACTTTATTGTAGTCGATTCCCTCCTTTTGAGCGTAGCCTTTAGCTACCAACTGTGCCTTGTAGCGAACATCTTTCTTGTTATGAGATCCATCTTTCTTTACAAATACCCACTTGCATCCAATGGCTCTTTTACCTTTCGGTAATTGTGCCAGTTTCCAAGTGTCGTTCTTTTGGAGAGATTGCATTTCTTCATCCATGGCACTTTTCCACTTATCACTTTCCAAGCTTTGTATTGCTTCTTGGTAAGTGATAGGGATATCATCATCAACAACTGAAAGAGCATAGGCCACCATATCAACAAATCGAGCAGGTCTACGAATTTCTCTCCTTGGCCTTGTAACTACAAGTGTTTCTGGTGTCTCTAATGGTTCTTGGGTTTGAACCTCTTCATCTTCTGATTCTTCTATTGGAGTTGAAGAATCAGCTGCATCAACTTCTGGGATCATCATCTGCTGAAACTCCACCTGTTTTGGAGTATGCTCCACCTGCTGCGGAGTACTACTTGTCTGGACAGCTTCACTTGTTACCTTCTTTACTAGGGCGATTCATCAAAGGGAACATCTCTTCTACAAATTATCTTCTTGGTGTCTAAACACCAAAGGCGGAATCCCTTCACTCCATGGGTGATTCCCATAAAGAGAGCCTTCTTTGCTCTCGGATCAGGCTTGGATTCCTTCACATGATAATAAGCAGTGGATTCAAATACATGTAAGGAATCATAATCAGTAGCAGGTTTTCCAGACCATACCTCCAATGGTGTTTTCCTCCTATCGCTGATGACGGTAGACGATTAATGAGATGGCCAGCATATGTCACAGCCTCAGCCCAAAATGCCTTGCCTAACCCAGCATTAGACAACATACATCGAACTTTCTCCAATAGTGTTCGATTCATACGCTCTGCCACCCCATTCTGTTGTGGTGTATGTCTAACAGTGAAGTGTCGAACAATACCATACTCATGGTAAACGTCAAAGAATGTGTCACTTTTATATTCCCCTCCATTGTCCGTCCTAAGACGTTTGATCTTTCTACCAGTCTGGTTCTCGATCATATTTTCCATTTCAGGAAATTTGAAGCACTTCATCTTTATACTTCATCGGATACACCCAAACTCTTCTGGAAAAGTCATCTACAAAAGTTACAAAATAATGGTTTCCTCCCAAAGACGATGTCTTTAAAGGACCCCATACATCTGAGTGAATATAATCTACAATACCATTTGTATTATGTATAGTGGTTCCAAACTTCACTCTCTTCTTCTTTCCCAGAACACAATGCTCGCAAAAGTTCAATTTGTAAGCCTTTGCACCTTTCAACAATCCTTTCTTTGCCAGAATTTGCAAGGATTTCTCTCCAGCATGTCCCAACCGCATATGCCATAACTGGGTTGCATCCAAATCATCACCTCCGGAAGCTGCTGCAACTGCTCCAATAATTGTACTACCTTGGTAGTAATACAAATTATTTTTCCTGATGCCCTTCATCATCACAAGTGCGCCATATGTGACTTTTAAAACTCCATCTCTCATATTGACTACTGAGCCTTTGGATTCTAAGGCTCCCAACGAGATGAGATTTTTCTTCAAACTGGGCACGTATCGGACATCTGTCAGAACTCTGGTTGATCCATCTTGATTCTTCAATCGAATTGAACCTATCCCAACAGTTTTACAGGCATTGTCATTGCCCATATAAACAACTCCTGCATTTAGTTCCAGTAAATCAGAGAATCACTCCCGATTAGGGGACATATGATAGGTGCAACCCGAATCTAATATCCACTCATCGGAATGGAATGTTGTTGATGAAGCAACCAATGATATGTCAGATTCATGTGCATCATGCTCTGCAACACATGCATCTGGAGCAACTTTTCATTTCTTCTTCAGCTTCGGACAATCTTTCTTCCAATGGCCTTTCTCATGACAAAAGGCACATTCATCTTTTCCAGTCTGGACTTCGACTTTGATCTCCCTCTCCACTTTGGCTTTTGACTTTTCGAGTGACCTCTTTCCACCATGGCCTCTGCTGCTTCGTACTTGCTCTCCTTCTTGGTTTTCTTCCTGAGTTCATAACTATACAAAGCAGCAGTTACATCTTTAAGGGTAACATTATCCTTACAATGAAGTAACGTTGTCTCAAGGTGCTCAAATTCATCTGGAAGAGATGACAACAACATCAAAGCCAAATCTTCATCTTTGAAGGTTTCATCCATGCCCAATAAGTCTTCCACTAGCTCATTGAACGCAGTGATGTGTTCATTCATACTGGTGCCTGGTTGATAATCAAATCTAAACAATCTTTTCTTCATGTGGAGATGATTCTGAGAGCTTTTCTTCAGGAATTTTTCCTCCAAAGCTTTCCACATCTTACTTGCAGAAGTCTCGTTCTTGTAGCCATACTTCTGCTCCCTGGAAAGACAAGATCGAATCGTGATGCATGCTTAACGATTGATTGTTCCCCATTCTTTCTCCTCCATATATTCGGGCTTTTCTTCCTCAATGGCGATGTCTAGACCTTGTTGGAATAAAGCGTCTAACACCTCGCCTTGCCACATGCCAAAATGACTGGATCCATCGAACAACTCCACCGAGAAATTTGCATTTGACATCACCCTCCTCACCGGTCCAGATGAAGAGCTTGATGTCTCAACTGATCCGTATTTTGGCATTTTAATTCTAACGAACAATATTCAATATCACGAACTGTATCTTTTCAGTAACGGAACCACTAGGATAACCTCAACCGAAGCTCTGATACCAATTATTGGGGAAAACGGGTTATTTCCCACACAAACGTAGTTTTAAAATTGACCTAAAATGTCAAGATTAAAACCACCAAAGGTTGCACAACGGATAAACCTGTCAAACTATTGAATATTGAAACACAATAGAAAAGAACCGAATAAAAAACAATAAAGGAGAGAACACACCAAATTTACGAGGTTCGACGAGAATATCGTCTACTCCTCGGGCACCACACCGGATGATAACTTCACTATATCGCCAATATTACAACAAATGGAATTCTTTGGAATTCCCAAAGTGGGAGAATGAAGAATACAAGAGGAAGAGAGAACTTGTTTTTGGGATGATTTCTAATGGAAATACTTAGGCCTATTTATAGTTGAGTTTCAAGAACAATATGTTCAAAGTTTGGCCACCTACCAAAGAATTTTCCAATGTGTACAAGTTAGCCACCAAATATGAAATTCACATGTTCAAAGTTTGGCCACCAACCAAGATGAAATTTCCAATAAGTTGGCCACCAACCAAGATGAAATTTCCAACTTGTCAACTTAATTTCTAGACAAATCTAACAGTTACAAATAGGGAAGAATTTGAAGGAGAGGTTAAAGAAGATTGATATGTCAAAGGATCGCATCCGTTTGGATGGGTTAGAATCACACATAACGGCAAAATCGGCGGTGCCAGAGGTGGCTTCTCTGTCGATTCAGGAAACCAAAAAGTTGTTAAGGGTGGCGCAGCTGGAAGTGGTGAAAACGAGGCTAAGGGAGACTAGCATAACCTGGATTTCTTATTTGAACTTTTTCATATCTGCGGAGAGAGTTGTTCGGATCCGGAATAAAGACTGCAGTTTGCTAAATTGTTAGATAAATCTAGATCCGTTATCGTTCTAGGAAACGTAGTCGTTTTACGTCCTGATCAGGTAAATAAATTTTCAACCTAATAATTATCACTTGAAAGTTTCATTTGCAGATGAGATTCTATGCTTATTTTGGCAAGGTTTTGGATCTGAGATTTCATTGAGAGAGTGCGCGAGAAGAAGAAGAAAAGAAGATGAAGAGAAGGAAAAAGCTATAATATTATAAAGTTATCAGAGTTAAGTGCCACATCAACAAAAATTAACGAGAGTTAACGACAATGACCAAAATGAAAACCAACTAAAAGTTTGATGATTGTATTGTAAGTTTCAAAAGTTTAGTGACTAAAATGCAAACGCCCTAAAAGTTTGAGGACTATTTATATACTTTACCATTATTTTATTTAGGAATTTGTTATTTTATTTACTAAGAACTCTCTATAGGATTTTTAGTTTAATTCTTTTATCTTTATTATCATATTTTATTTAGGAATTAATTATTTTATTTACTTTGAACTCTTGAGTTATAAATACCCCTTAAGTTCAAGGGTCAAAAGACAGATTGAAATTTAATTTTCCTTGGTTAATTATTGAAGTTCTTCTTTTCTTTTATCTTTACTTTTCTTTAATTATTTTCTTTTCATAAGGTTAATCATGATCCAATCCACACCTAGCTAAACTTTCCAAAGGCTTTTGCAAAGCACAATTTTAATCATGAGAATTGGGCTTTGATCTTCATTCCTTCACACTGTATTCTTCGATTTTCAGAAAATTGTGAGTGGCAATCGAACATTCCCTTAAAAGAAAGTGCACGTTGATTTGAAGAATGTTTTTGCTTGAAGTTTGGAAGTCAAGTCGGTTGGTTGTAATTTAACTTCTTGTGAACAAACTTAGTAGCAATCCGCTAAGGGGAATCAAGATCGAATTTGATTCTCGATGAGATATTATAACTCGAGTCGGATTTTTCCAAAACTTAAAGTTGATTTGGATCTAACAACAATAGACGTGGTTAGACCAACAATGACCAGATTTCAGAGATACACTTGGAAATTTCGGTTAACCTAAGAGAAGAGTTAGCTACATGGGTTACACCCTTTTGACTGTTATTGGCGTACCACACGAAGGAAAAATTTTATTTCGATAATCGATTAAAATTTGAGACTAAATAAAGCCTGAGGCTATATCATCTTGATTGAGTTCTTTTACTTTATTTGCTTTATTTATTTTCTCATTATTATTTATTTTTATTATTATATTACTTCCATTATTTTTAAACTCTTATTTTTAATTTTATAGTTAAAACCTAATGATCGAAACAAGTAAATTATTTAAATTTCCTTAGTCGTGGTATATCAACCTCTACTTCTTTATACTATCTTTATTATTTATTTGAGATTAGAGTATTAATTTATTTGGCAAATTCGACTCTTGTCACCATTTGTGTAGTTTATATTTTTTAATTTTATATATTCACTGTGATTTGTCAACAATCCATTAAAAACCTAACAACAATTAACCCTCAATGACCACATATTCATTAATTAAAAACGAAAGTGACACATCTTGATAAAATAAAAATGAAAGTGGCCAAATATTTTTTTTAATTCATTGGAAAAAATAAACAAAACATAGACGAAAGTAATCCATCGTATTATTAACACATAATTATATGTATGTTTTTTGTTTTCGAATAATTAATATAGATATCAACTTAAAGAGTTTGAATGCAAATGCATGGCGTATCATGGGCTTCAAAAGGTCAAGCAGCTTGCGGACGCTTACTTTATACAGGAATTTCCACTTGTGAAACACGTGTTTAAATTAATGCTTACTTTCAGTTCAAATATTTCATTTTTATATGACGTAAACGTAAATATATATTAGAATTTCAATAATTTATAATATATTCGTGATTAAAATCTGGATACTAGGTAATATAAATAATAAATTATTAAAAGATGTAAAATTAATGAAAAAGAGAAAAACAAAAGATAATTATAACGACAATAATTAAAAGTATAGGAAAAAAATTAAACCACTCTAGTGTAGTTTTTTAGAGTGAAAATTGGAATGGACCAATAATAGATATAATTTATTTTTTAAAAATAAATTATTAAGGTAACCTTTAAAATATTTATTGTTTATTTCATAGTTTAAATTTTATGTTTTTCCTAATTGATTAAGTATCATTGAGGTAGGTAACACTACACTCAGTCATGTATATTAGTATTTGAGTCATGTGTAAATGTGTGTACACAATTACTTGCAGGGGTATTCAAAAATACCTAATTCGAATTATTTGACTCGTCAATCCACTGACCTAATATAAAATTATCGATTATTTTAGAGATAAATATCCAGTTTTGCAGGTCGAGTACCCAACCTGTTATTTTTAGCGAGTTTTCGGATTGGGTTAGGTTCACAAAATTATCTTAATCAGGTATCGATCGATCTGTCGACCTGGCTCTCCTTTTTATTTTATTACTATTTTTACTTTAAATTAAAAATTTTATTTTTAATTTTAAAATTATTTTATCCTAACATTCTAAATCTCTAATTTTTTTCAAATTGTTTCATCTTAACATTTAAACTGTTTCTTAGCTTATTTATTTTATTCTTAAATTATTTTAACTTTAGTTGTAAATTTATATTTTATTTTTTATTTATTTAAATTATATAATTTCAATTTATAAATTTTATGTTTATATTATGTATTATAAACTTCTAAAATTTATGTTTTTTATGATTTTTTTTTCTAAAAAATCAATATAAATAAAATAAAATAAACATTAACTAGGAACACGTGACCCAAAAATACGAGTATCCGAGTTTTACGAGTACCCAATTCACATGTACTTGCCTTTCACTGACCAGATCATGGGTAAAATTTTTGTAACCCAAAAATTTCGGGTACTTGACATTTTGGATACCCTACAATGTAGGTAACTGAATTTGAACACCCTTAATTACTTGTAATGAAGCATTTAAATAAATATATCATACATATAAAATTAAATAAAATATGATTTATATGTCTAACGAAAATATGTTTTTTTTAAATTTAATCTAATATTTAGACTTATATTAAGAATCCATCCATAGAGCTTAAGAATACAAATTTTGCAGCGAAAAAAATAGTAGAAAGTGGAAACCAAACTTAAATTAATTATATTTATGGATTATTATGTCTCCGAAATTTCTATTTTGACTGTGGTATATGAAATTAATTATTATTGGGTGATAATTATAATACATATCAATATGAAATTTGAAAAGAAACAATTATGTATAAAATTTATATTTTTCTTAAAAACTTATATTTAGTAGAATTAAACGGGAAAATGGTTGCAGGTGAAATGATAAAATGTATTTCAACGAAAGTTTTTTTATCTTTGATATTTTTTTATTTTCTAATTTAGTGCCAATTGATCTATGATATCAAATTCAGTTAGGAAATTTAATAACAGTATAAATACATTAAAAAAACTATGTAACAAACTAAATTCCAAAAATATATACAAATAAAAATAATAATGTATGTGAAGGTGTTGGGCAAATATTTTAAGATATTGTTCTTAATATCCAACAAGACTAAAAACTTTAAGCCACTTTGGTATTTTATTTGATAAAAGCTGCATCCTGGCTGACAGAAAAAGCTGTATGTATGTGTGTATCTTCAAGTTTCCACGACATAATAAATAGAGATTGCCCTTACTAAGATTATGTAAATCAGGTTAACCGTTGTGATCGTCGATCGAGTATAAGGGGAGTAGGAAAAAAACTAGTCAAAGGCCTAGCAGTTCAATCTCCAATCATACGGCTGGTATATCACCTTCAACTCACCACCAGCAATCATCTCCAGCAAAGCTTCAGACTCATATGGCTCTAAGTAATTCGAGGCATGTTTCAGTACCTCTAGCTCGGTCTTGCCAAAATCAACACTAAACCTGTTCGTCAATTAGTAGCAAGCAACAAAGTTATTTTTCCCTGAAGTATATAAATCAAGCTTACTGCATCATCCATCTACTGCTAATTCGAAGAAATATCAATTCACTGCAGCTTGGTGTTTGGTGCACAGTCCATGGCAGTATTGCACATCATTCGTTTACTGTTGAACTGAACTTCATCCGTACTGATATATAAAGGGAGGCTCTAATTGGTACCCGCTATTACCAACTCAATTTTGAAGTTTACCAAAATGTTAAACAAGACGATAGGATTGGTGTCATTTAGGTAATATGTCAAGCATCCATCTTATTATTACTATTTCCCTATGTTGTCCTGCATACATCGAGTTATATTAGCTCAAAAGAAAGCAGCGGTTTCTAGAAGTTCTTTTTTGCCTATGCCAATGAGTTTTAGAATTAAGGCTCTTAACCTTGTGGTCGTGAGAACGAGTCTAACGGTGGGCAATTCATAATTCTGACTGCCGGAGGTCTTCCACAGAAGCTGCTCTCAACCTGGCGTTGGGGGCAACCTACTACCTTACCTCCCCCTCACCCCATTACATATGGGAATAGGGTCAGCTAATTTTAATGAGTTTTAGAATGCTTATGTTAGTGTGCGTGTTTAGAGAAAATTTTAGAATCTGATTTTGTATTTCATAACAGTAAATAAAGGTCTAGGGAAGAAATATGATTTTTTTTCACCAAGAACTTGCTTGAAGTAAACTTACCATTTGAGGATCTTACTAGCATATGCAACCTTGCCGTTCATGTCAACAATAAGGCCACCAGCTCTTAAGAAATCCCGTGCTGCATCCATCAGCTCTTTGTCAATGTTCCCAGGAGAATAGCATCGAAGAGCAGGCCCTGATCGTGCACCAGAAACTAGGGCAAAGTGAACTAGAGGCTCAGGATATGGTAGAGCCACCTGAAAAAACATATAACAAAGAGTAAGATACTCTGAATTTCCACGAGGCATTCAACTCTTGAGGATGTTTTTTTTTCTTTTTTTTTTTTGGGGGGGGATTGGGGGGGGGGGGACGGGTTTGATAATGGGATGCTTTAACAAAACGAATTCAGGCCACACCCTTACAAGCCGGTTGTCAACATGATTAACTACATGCGAAAATTTACGAGGTGAAGTAAACATAATCAACAACCCCACAGCGCATTGCAAGGTCACTTCTTATGCAGGACCTTTGGGTCTTCCTTCTGAAACAACCGACTAAATTAGAAGAGCACCAAACTTTAAGGAACGAGAGAAATAGTCGCACAGATTCTGAAAGTTATATCCATTCCATAATTTCACTAAAGCTTTGTAGTTTTACCAGTTTGCATAATTAACAGTAAATCACATAATAAGCTAACCGAGAAATACAAGCATCCAAAACAGTGGATAGAATCACGCTACGCAACTGTAAGCATCAATTTCACTCACAATCATACCTGCGATCGTTTATCTTTTACACCAAATGGTCTCAAAAGATTGTATGGTGGCTTTTGATTTCCCCTTAAAATGCCATTCTGAATGGATGAAAGCGAGTATGTACACCCACCAACAACATACTTGAAATCTCCAAGCAGCTTCCTTCGTTCCAGTGGACCAGCAGGATGACCCCAGACTAATATTGCATGGATGGCCATCATATTGTACAAATTTATGAATAAGGCGAGCTTCTCCTCCCTTGCCATGTCCTGCACGTTCACTCGTTGGACCTCTTGAACAATTCTTAAGTACCTAAAAGTTTTTGCCATTAACAAAGAATGCTTGATCACCTAAAGGAAGTGAATAAACTTTACAAGATACTAGAGTCAGCAACATCATTGCCTCAAACCTTGCAAATTCCTCACTTTCATGAATACTTCTATAATCGATATGCCTTCCATCTTCTGATGCATAGGCTTCAAAAATTGCATAGGACAAAACTCTCAGCCTTGATGCAATTTCAGCAATGGGCTTCGGTTTCAGTTCAATTATACCCCCTGGAATGTTGTGACATTGAGATGACACAGTAGGATCATGTTCCAAGAACCGATACAAATGGTCACCATCCTCAAACAAATTCTCACTATTATTAAGCATCGCGGAAAAAAATGAGAATGATTTTCAACCACTAAAAGGGTTACAAAAAACAAAATAGACTGGGAGGACAGGGACTCACTCGAGAACATGTCGAAAAAAGAGCTCACTGGCAAGCTTTTGCCCGAATTCAATGGCCTGTGCCAAAATGAGAGAACAAGCAAAAGGGGAGGGGGGTTAGACGTAATATAATCACGTGTAAACATGTACAAACAGAGCAAGCACACAACCAAAAATTCTAAACTCAAAACCAGTGGTCCTCTGATTTGACCAGTTAAAAGCCAAAATCATGAAAATATAAAATCTCCAAAAGTCACCGATTTAAAACAGAAAAACAAGAGAATAAAGAAAAAGAGACTATTACTATTTTTCTTAAAAACGTTACCATGTGGTATCATAAAAATTAATGCTAAGGAATAAATTGGCATCTAAATATGTCTGCTTACCCATAAACTATCAAGTAAAGTACACTGTTGCTTTTTTTAATCAGACTGGAATAACATCAATAAAAGGTCTTATCTAGAGCACTTTTTAATATGCTACAATTAAATTGAAAGCCGTCTACTATAGTGAGAAGATGATATCATTTTCCAAGTTCAAAAATAGCAACACTATAACAAGCTGCAAAGAAATGTTTCCATGCCTTAACTTTGCATTTCACCATAGGAAGCAACTGAAAGAGCATTCTGATTGAGAAAAGTCTGATCCTAAGTCCTAACCCAATATGGCGAAAATAATAATAGTAATGATTGACAATGACCAGAAAGTATATAATCAGCACATGGCATTCACGATACCAATGGCAGTCTCATAAAACATAATTAAATCCAAACTAACCTCTTCCCTTTCCAGGTACTGATCTTCAGATAGAAAATCCACTGCTTCATAACCTAGGAAACAATTAGTGAACCTGCGCATCTTGTATAACCGATCCTTAACAACTATAGTTTCTTTCATTTTTCGAACAATTAGAGCTAGTTCATCAACAGACCCATCACCAGATACATCATCTTCACCAGAAAGAGGTGGTAAAGGAGCTTCAGTTGATGGTGCTTCAGCAATCAAAAAATCAATCTTCTCAAGAAACTTGCCAGACTCATCTAAGCCTTTCAGTTCACTCAAGCCTCCAATCAGCACTTCATTAAAGAAGACCTTAGGAACGGCACAAGACCCATAGACCTTCTCTAGCTCCAACTTTCTACTGGGATATATATCAATGTTGATCTCAACATATCTAAGCCTTTTCCTTTGCAAAAACAACCTAACTTCTCTGCAATCTTGGCATCCTAACCTTGTATATAATATAATTCTTCCTTTTATAGGTATAAGTGATTCTTCAAAGGTACTCTTCCCCTGATCAGCTTTGCTTCCTGAATCAGTATCAGGTGACACCTTAATGTAGTTTAAGGGATTCCAAGCAGATCTTTCTTCAGTCCTCGGCGACATTGCGATTTTCTCACCAAATTTAGAAGAATCTGAAGTGTCCTTATCGACATCAACGGTGGCATGTTCAACCACCTCTCTTTTTAGAGAAAGGCGATGCAGGACACTGGTCACTGCAGCACCCTTTACCTTAACAAAATTCTTAAGTGCCACTACTTTCTCAGGCCACATAGATCCCTCTTCCACTGGATCAGGATCCAAGGAATGAGTTGATGAACTCCGATTAGCCAGCATCTCAGGAACCTCTGTGCCATCAAAGACAAGTTCTGGCTCCTCCTCAGCAATATCTTTTGTACTTCCGTTCATTTCTTCTTGAACTTTGGAATCCAAATCCTCATCCTTATTCATCTTGTCAGTGTCACCTTGTTCAACAGCTCTAGATTCTGAGTCTGTATTCTGATCCAAGTAGTCATCTGAGCTGTATTGTCTATTACCCTCCTCTAACTTATTAAAATCGTCATTGTTGATGTTCATACTTTGCATCTCCTCCACGGGTTTTCCCTGATCTTCTTTGTGAATAGCATCAGTATTTCCCTCTAGTGTCTCATCCATTAGAGAATCAGTTATAATTTTGTAACTGGAATTACCCTTTCCCGCAATGTCAGAAAAAAATAAATATTGTCATTCAACTTGCAAAAACATGCCCCTAAAACCTTTTCACCAAGGATCGTTTCACAGATTCCTGTAAGAAGTTTACATATAGTCAAATTCAACAGAAGACCAAATCCAGTACAAATAAAAATTGGATATAAGACCTTTATACAGTACCATATACTGAGTCATATCTGAAAGTATAGAACCATACTAAAACTGCTTAACAAACAATAACAGTTTCACAAAGATTCATTACAGAAAAAAAAACCAGATAATATACTTTTAAAACAGGGGGGAAATCGCCGTCTAAATTTGGGTATAATAAGTTCTGATTCACTGATTTTCAGAAATATAAACATAATCCGAACCAAATCATGAGAATCAATTCATAATAAGAAATTGTCCCAAAGCACTAGATGCAATCCGGCAAGTCAAGCCCCGAAGGTTTAGTTTTTGACAATTCATAGTCACACAAGCCGGTCAAAACGGGATAAAAAAAATAGCAGCGCAGACAAATGCATCTGTGAGCAAAATTAAACTGGTAAAGAGTAAATACCAAAGAATTCAGTTCTTTCCACCACAGATGTTTCAAAATCAAATTACAAAAAGATTATAACTTTTAAGTTTTGCAGAGTTGGATTATGTTTTCATTTAATTATCACACTACTAAACACTCCAAAAAGAGGAAAATAATAATAAACACTGGGAAATTATCAATTGGATATCGCAACTTAATCGTAATGGAAAGGACGACAAATGAAAACAAGAGATGGAGAGAGAGCTTACAGATCCAGAGAGAGTCAAGAGTAAGAGTTAATTGAAAAAGAGTAGGAAAAATATTTTGGAGAGAGTTACAGAGCAAAAATATGAAGTTAAAACATAAGATTTGGAGTTACGATTCCATTGTTTTAATTTGAAGTTAGGAAATTAATAGGAAGCGGATGACTTACAGAGGAAGGTGCGAGCGGGAAATCCGTGAGCTTTTCTTTTCTTCGTTTTTGTTTTTTAGGACCTCCTTATTATGTTTTCAGAACCTGACTGGTTCAATCGATTGAATCGGTTTGATCGGTCAGAAAAATCGGACGACATCATAATTATTTAAAAAACTAAATAAAAATACCAAAAATATTTAATAAAAAATAATTTTTTATATCACGAGTCATATTCAAAGCAAGTCATAACATATATAAATTAAAAACCATAAAGTCAAGTGAAACAAAATGATTGAAATTAACTACAACATAATATTTAAGGTAAAACATATTAAATAATAAATATAATTATATAACTATAATTAAAAAAATAAATTTGTGACTAAAAAAATCATAACAAAATGATATTGTTTGGTTTAATTTTTTTTAAAAAAAGAATCTCACATGGCTAAGAAACATAGTAGAGCATCCCAAAAGTCTAAAGAGTAAAATTATGAGGAAAAAACAATCTCATATTGCTAAGAAACATAGAAGAGCATCACAACTAACTTCTATAAATAATAGAGGTAATTTGGCATTCAAAATCATGAAGCCTTTTGGTGAGCATTGAGTGAACTATTCTTTCACTTCAATTGAGCTTCTAATTTGTTTTTTAGTTCAAGCCTTTTTGAGTTCAAGTTTCAATATTATATTTTGAGTTCGAGTTGAACTTGATAATTTTTAACTTGTGAGTTTGAGTGGAGTTGAGCTTACTTTTAAAGTTTTCAAGTTCGAGTCGAGCTCAGCAATACTCGAGTTCGACTTAGCTCGTTTAACAAACGACGTTTGGTTTAATTTTTAAAAAACAAAAACAAAATTTCTGGTTTTTTTCGGTTTTCAGCCGGTCCGGTTCGAACGGTTCAACGGTTCTAGCCGGTTCACTAGTAGCGGTTTAACCGGTTTAGATTGAACCGAACTAGACAACGATTCTCGGTTGAATCGACCGATCTGGTCCGGTTTTCAAAACAATGCTCCTTATCCTTGAGTTTACTTTCAAGTCAAAATTACACATATATCATTATAAGAAGGGTAAATTACAAAGTTCATCCCTGAACTTTATTCTCTCCTATTTCACTTATCGAACTTTCAGTTTTTCAATTTGCTCACTGAACTTTACAGATTGATTTTTTTAATCACTCCTCTGTTAATTATCTAACAGCGTTATGATGTGGACAAATTAACTTATACTTTTTCTATTTATATTTATTTGACTTTTCAACATAAGATCTTTTATTATCTTCATCTTCCTTCATTATCGCCATATTCTTCTGATAAGATGCAGCGAAAACACTTGCAATATTTATTGTTCGTGGAATCTTAGATTATCTTAATGAATATAAGACATATGAAAGGTAGAGAGAGGAGAACCGACAAATAAAAGAGAGTTTTAGGGCTCGTGAATTAGAGTTTCTACAAAAGGCTGAGGAATATGAAATATAACACCTTTAACTCGTACAATGCTTAAATACGAGTTAAGCATGTCATACTGACTTTTATAACATTCCATACTTGAAAATCCATAAAAAAAAGTCTTTCCTTAACATTTGTAAAATTTAAAGCTTCTTACTAAAATCACTTATTCATATAAAATCAAAATATTATAAATTATCATATAAACCAAACCTGATTTTAGCTAGAGTTTTAATAGTTCATTACTAAATGATACTGCTTAAAAACTGTCTAATTTCAAAATATTTATTGATTCAAGTAAAATATATTTTCTATATAAAAAATAAAACTTAAATTCAAAATTTTATTTATAATATGTATCTTAGATATTTCATATTCGTATGCATGCCATCTAGAAAATTTAAGATAGTAGGATCTCATTGTAGATACTGTAACTTTCTTTGTTGATTGATGCCCACTCAACTCTTTACTTCACTTGCTCTTCTTTACCTGCGTGAAAATCAACACACACTTAGTGTGACATTATAAACAAACTAAGAAGATATAAAATATTAAACAACTTAACAACATCTAAACCATATATTTCCCTTTTATAAAACTTAAAAATATCATAATAATTAAAACATTAAACTTAAATTCAAAGAAAATCATTAAATATCCAAACCGACTTATTCAAGCCATTTTTCCTCATAAGAACCTAAAAATCATCATCTCATGATTTTGCTAGAACCATGATAATCAATAGTAGATTTAACAATCATGTCTTATTCTTTTTCATTCAGATACTTTTCAGAACTTTCACTTTCATATTTATTTACATAACCAGTACTTTCACATTTCATAATTCACTTTCTGATTCAGAACTTATTTCCATATTCATAACTTAATTTTTTCTGATTCGTAGCCCAATGCATATTTATGAGAATGCAAGGTACGTGAGTCATACATAATGTGCGCACTAGGCACTATACGGTGCCAATCATGATCATAAGATGCACTCCACGTGCAAACCATATCATGTGCACCAACGGTACCATACGTAATGTACACGAATGTACCATAACTTAACTTGAACTTTGCTCAACTTCCTGACATGCCAAGTGTACCTACGACTCTCAATGTAACATACAATAGGCTTTTCCATTAATTATTTTTATGTTATTGAATTATCAAAGATATCAATATATCAACACATCCAACCATTCATATAATAATGTAATGGTCAGTTCATACCCTGTTGAGTTAATCGATTGACGAATATGGCCAAGAGGGGGGGTGAATTGGCAATTAAAATTTTGGTGAAAGCTTTTGCAGAAAATTGAAAGAAATTTGCACAACGAATTAGAGTTGTTCGACTTTCTCAGCCAAAGTCTATGTCCACTACCTTAGCTATCCACACTAAGGATTTTCGACAAATTCACTAATTTGTCTTTCTTTTGAGGACAAAGAGTAACCTTACAAACCCTCAAGAATTATACCCCAAATTCTTGAGAACACTCTCTCCCAAAGAGAACAATACAAATTTGCAAACTTACAAGGAAATCCTCACAAGGTAGATTGTTTGCACAATTCTAGAACAAAGAAAAGAACACTCAAGAATGAATACAATTGAGCACAATAAGTGTTCTTGAAAGCAAAATAAATATTGAATGAAAAATAGGCTTGAAATGCTCAAACTTGAGGTTTGATGCTTTCTCTTTGATTTTCTCTTGATTCTAGTTGCTTGATGTTTCTTTTTTTTTTTATCAATGGCTTCTAAGCTTGCTTAAATACACCTTGAATCACTTTTTGAACGTTGGGGATCATTAATGAAGTTTTTGGAGCCGTTTAAGTGTGAAAACAATTAATATTTCTACTTGGAGCGTGGGGGGATCGATACCCCTCATGGGGAATCGGTTCCCTAAGTGTAAAATTCAAATATTTCGACCGTTGAACAGTGGGGGGAATCGGTACCCCCTGGGGGGAATCGGTTCCCTCCGAGCAAACAGGAAATCTCGGAGCCAAACCATTCAGGGGGGAATCGGTACCCCCTTGGGGGGAATCGGTTCCCTCTGAGCAATATGGAATTTTTGGCTTTGAAATGGTTCAAAATATTTTGTAAAATCGTTTTGAAATTATTTTAAGATTAAAACTTAATTTTACACTTGAGTAAGGATTTAAAATGAACTTTGAAATACTTTGAGTAATATTTTGATATTCGATTTAATATATCGAATATGCTTAGAAAAATCATTTTCAAAATTAAAATTCTTTTAATTTAATTTGTTATATCGAAACATCAAAATGTTTTCAAAAATCTCCCCCTTTTTGATATAACAAAACATTTTAAGATTTTCTAATTTCAAAATGAATTTTGATTTTGAAAAATACTACTCCCCCTTACTTTAACACTACTCCTCTTCAAAAACTCTTCAAAAAGCTTTTAATAACATTTCTCCCCCTTTTTGTTAAATCAAAAAGACCCGTAAAAGATTTTAAACAAGGTTTTGAAATCATTTAGTCAATTGATTATATATATAGTTTAAGCTGTCAAGATCACAATCAAGAGAAACGTTAGCCATTAGTTTCATAATCAATATTCATAAACAATGTGACATGGCAAAATTGGTCATATATATAATATGTTGTAAATTATGCAAGAATGAAGAAATTTAACCACACCAAATATATAAGTTTAAACATCCATAATCCATCAAATAAGTTCAAATATCCAACAACAAAAGGAAAACAATCCAAAAACAT